CGGGACAAGCAACCGGTGCCCGAAATTAGTAGTGCCAATAATGCTCTTCAACATACTAAAAGTCCCCATATGTCCGAGGTGCGGAACATCCTGAAAATTGAGCCGCCATCTTGGTTTTTCACGTTTTTTGCTAATAACTTTGTTATTATTATTTTTTTCGGAAAAAGTTAGGAAAGGGATTTGAATTAAAGAAAAAATCTTTTTTAGACACGTTTTTTATATTTACTAATGCGGCTATCGATTTCAACCTATATTAGGTCATCTTCAGGCCGAATACAATACATCAATCGAATTAGGAAAGGGAATTTGTGAAGCTTTAAAATACGAATCCAATGCTTATTTATTTCTCGAAATCGATTGGAAACTAAGGGAGTTATGATTTTTTTCTACTCCTATGTTGTAAACATTCCCAAAATGTCACCCTGTACTGCACGTCTAAATCGTTCATTATATCATACGGTTGCATAATGAAAATTAGAACTGTTACTTAATATATATATATATTACGTAACAGGTTAAAGGTCAAACGCGAAATGTTAATTTAGTAGGTTGTCAGCCCTGCCTAATGAATGAAGTAACGTCAGATTTTGTTGTTGTAGGTTATATTTCACATTTTGTAAACTTCTTTGAACAGAATTACTCATAATTTGTTTAAACATTGCCATTTGTATGGGAATGGAGCCTGTATGTAATTTATTAGCCGTGCCCAATTATTTTTCATAATCGCAATGGGCTACTCAAGAATGGTTTGAAGCTGCGTTTAGTTAATTAAGCAAACTCTGTTGCTACTATTTTGTATTTTAGAAAACTACAATAAGTACTCGAAGAATTAATGGATGGTGCTAATTACGACTTGCATGGAACACGGAATAATGCACTTTAGAATTATACTGGGTAGTCCGATGCTTCCTTCCCGGGAAAACTCGTTAAAAGACGCAGCGTTTTGAAGGCCTTAGTATTATCGATAGTTAGGTACCTAATACATTGGCAACTACAACAATAGAAATCGTCCAAAACTGTAATGAAAAAGAGCACTAACACCACCAGAGCTAGTTAGGTAGTAATCTTCAACTTCCACACTTTTATCTTGTATCCTATTGACTATTGCATCTATGGTGCTAAAATGAAACTCACATTGCAGTAAGGAATAGGGATGTAAAAACCCTGCAATACACTTCCACTAAGTAAAAAGTATTTATAAAATTCTTGCTCGCTGGCGTGCATTCATGGAATATAAGTGAGGTTACGTTGTATTTTGTATTCCTTTTAAATAGACCATGACATTTGACACTTGACAGTTCTAATTTTTAGTTCGAAGTTCGAATATTTAGAACCAAATCAATCGTAATCTATCAATCTTTTATCAATTATATTCAAGTCGTAGAAAAAGTATAGTACATAATTCGAGTGCTAATGCCTATTACGCACTCGATTTTATTACAACACTCGCTCGCTGCGCTCGCTCGTGTCGCAAAATACTCGTGCGAAATAGGCTTCTTAGCACACTTATTATGCAATATACTATTTTTTGCATCAATAATCGCCACTATACACGAATAACGAATAATTAGATTTTAATCGATTTATCCGATAGGCGAAATTCATTGGAACTTTATAGACCAAAGACTAATTATTCTTTATCGATTCAACAGTCAACAGTCCAAATTTTATTTTACCGCCCCCTCCTAGGGCAATATTTTCAAATAACTACCGAATGTTACTTTTACAATCATCATCACTAAAGTGGTCCAAGAAAGCGACAAGCAGAGTTAAATCGATGGCCTACATGAATAAATCCGTTAAAATAGGCAAAAATGTAGTGACAATTAATCCTCTGCAGTTGTTCAACCGGATTGTGTGCGCCGCGAAATCTTCTTAGGATCTGAAGTATTTTCCTATGAGTTGGCACAATACCCTTCGAGTATTTTTGATGAGGTATCGTTCAGAAAAACCATTGTTGAACAATATGTGAAACATGTTTTACATCATTACGGCAAAAAATCATTTTTGATGGTTATTCTGAAGAGGCAGAGTCTACCAAATCTGCGGAGCATTCACGAAGAAAAAAGGGTACTGCTGCCAAAGAAGTTAGCTTCGATTTACAAACTTCCGTCAAAATATCTGTCTGATTTTCTGGCTAACTCTGCTAATAAAGAAAAACTGATAAACTATTATAACGGAAATGCTCCAGACATGACGTCGCCTTTGGCGCTCTGGAATTTTCTACGCGCGCGATTATTCGAGAATGTACTGGACTTACATTGCTTGCGTGTATAAATGGTTGCGGACCGAACATCGCGGGAGTCTACTACCGAACGAGTACGTAAACATTGAGCGCGAAAGTCTGATATAAATTGCGAAGTGTGTGTGATATAAAGAATCGATATAAACTGTACGGATTTTATAGTGTTTTAGTTCTGTTTAATAAATATTGATATAAATCGAACCCGAATTTATAAATAACGTTACACTATATATGACTCCGTACTTTGAAGAAGCAGGAATTACCGTAACATCCGCAAAATCTGATGCAGACTATTTAATAGTTCGAACCACAGTAGATTTCTCAAAAACTTGTACTGATGATGTGGTGCTTGTTGGTCAGGATACCGATTTAATGGCGCTGCTGATTTTCCACAATACCGAAGGAAACGTTGCCATGCTGAGGCCAGGTACAGCGGGAAAGTCCGATAAATTGACAAATATAAGAAAACTGCAGACTGCGCTGGGTGACAAAGTGTGTCACAATATTCTATTTGCACATGCGGTATCAGGGTGCGACACAACTTCGGCCTTCTACAAAAAAGGCAAGACTAGCGCTTTAACTACTTTACAAAAGGATGAGACTCTATCACAGTCGATATTGATATTCAATGACGTGAAAGCGCCTATGAATGAGCTTCTCAAACAAGGAGAAGCATTTATATTGAAATGGTACGGTGCCAAAAAATGCAAAACGCTCGATAACTACCGGTACATCAAGTACAACCAAGGCGTGGGCAAGGCAGAATCTCTTTACCAATTTCGAGCTAGCATTACCTCCTACATCGCATGCTGCTAGATTACATTTGAGACGCGTGTATCTACAGGTCCAGAATTGGATGGGTGAGGAATTGAACCCTAAAGACTTTGGCTGGTTTACGAAACAAAACAATGTCTTGGAGCCCGTAAGAATGGAAAAACCCTGTGGACCGGATCTCATTTTGAAAATGCTGTTTTGCGGTTGCAAAGAAACGTGTTCTAATTCTTGTAGCTGTAGGAAGTCGGGGCTCAAATGCATTGCATGTTGCAGGAATTGTACTGGCAATTTTTGCGGCAACAGCTTAGACCCAGAAAGTGATGATGCTGAACCTTTACCCTAAATTGTCCATTGCAAATAAATACCTATACGTTAATCATGTTTAGTTTTTTAATTAGTTTAGATCAACTATACCAGAAAAGGGAGATGAAGCGAGGGCCTATGGGCGGGGAGGGGGTTGACGGCAAGAGGGTGGAGTAAGGGGGTATTACACATATCTCTGCTCATGTCTGGGGGAGGGGGGAGTGTTGCACTGTTGTATAGTATACACTACACACTACACAGCGAATGCTGTATAGTGCGATTATTGATACAAAAAAAATCGTAGCTCCCTTAGTTTTCAATTGATTTCGAGAAATAAAGAAGCATTGGATTTGTATTTGAAAGCTTCACAAATTCCCTTTCCTGACTTTTTCCGAAAAAAATAATAATAACAAAGTTATTAGCAAAAAACATGAAAATCCAAGATGGCGGCTCAATTTTCAGGATGTTCCGCACCTCGGAGATATGGGGACTTTTAGTATGTTAAAGAGCATTATTGGTACTACTAATTTCGGGCATCGCTTGCTTGTCCCGAATTTGTTCTAGGTTAAACTCTAATTTTACTCGACTATAGACTATCATTACACAACGTTCAGAGTAACAACCGCGCCTGATAAATCCACTTGTTACAAATGTAGATAAAATATGACTGATTGGACTAGAAGGTCAATCTGCGTTTAGCGTAGCGGAATAGACACACGGTGCATTGCGCCGATTGCATAAGTTTACGCATATATAATAAACGAACAGTGAGCGCGTGTTATGCAGTTACAATGTCCAATTGGAAGTATGTCGTAATTTTAAGTGCGCTATCGTACGGTGGGGAGTGTCTAAAAATATTGGGCATATTTACGTATAACTCCATTAGTCACTCAGCTGCGTACATACCAATTTTGGAAAGGTTACGGGCAGACGGGCATAGTTTGAAACTGTTCGCGACCTTCTCGCTCAGCAAGGAAGCGCCCGGGGATGTGATTTTGGGAAGCGCTCAACTCGGACGACGTTCGTATGATTTTGAGCAGCTGAAAGATTCGCACTCGGAAAGGATAAGGTTTCTGCACTTAAATGTCACGGTCGAAATGTGCAGGAAGTTTCTGGCTTCAAAGTACTATGAAGACATCCTGCAGTCTGAAGATAATTACGACGTTTTTATCACCGAGTACTTTACAACAAGCTGCTGTATTACTCCCATCGTGCAGAAGCTTCGCCTACCCTTTGTTGTTATACAAACAAGTTCGCTGGTCTCATGGTCCAGTCCATGGATTAACGTTCCAGATAATCCCTCTTACATTCCTGTTGACTTCATGGAATTGTCCAGGTCGACGTTTTGGGAGAGGTTTCGTAATACGATGGCCTATGCATACAGTCATTTTTTCTACTACACGGTGATCACGCCTCGAGACGACGCCCTGTTGGACAATTGTAAGCATTGTACGGGAATTAAATCGCACGACGCTATCCAAAATACAAGCTTAATTTTGGTCAATTCGCATTATTCCCTCCATGGCTCGCGTCCTCTGCCACCACACGTCGTGGAAGTGGGAGGGATTCACATCCAAAACAGTAAACCTTTACCGAAGGTAAGGCCACTCAATTTAAACTGCAAGTTCCAACCGAACCTCAAAATATCACTCTATAATCTCACATGGGGTTATCATTTTGCACAGTAATTTCATGTCATTTTTTAAAGAAACACAATTATGTAGAATTACATTCTGAAGGTTATATATTATGTGTGTGGAAATTCCATTGGAGTACTGAAACCACAAATTTGCATAAGATATACAACAATGTGGTTCTACTAATCATTCAACTGAGATAATTCCATACTTACGGTATTCGTGTACTGATTTGGGAGAAAATGGCATTGCCTTATCTTATCGTTAATTAAATAGACATTAATCGGTGATTTTGTGCAAGTCTCCTACGTACTAAAAACGTCGCCGTACTGAACATATGTAATAATAGAATCTAAAACCAGAAGTGGGGAAGCCGGTCGAAAGCGGGTCATTCCTCAGAAGTAAACAGTTTCGGTAGTCTCATCTCATGACAAATAAAGGTTTAGGTCTAGCTACGGTTGAATGAAATCACCAAGATAAGTATTTATGGAACCGGCCATGCGCCAAATTCCCTACCATCTGAATAATTGATAATATCAGTGCGTTTCAACTCGCTGCGGTATTTCAATGTCGGGGTTAAACATCCTGCTTTTATTGTCGTTAATAACGTGCGCATCATGTCTGAAAATTCTCGGCGTGTTTCCGTTTACGGGCCGAAGCCATTTCTTGATCTTCGAGCCGTTACTTAAGGAACTGAGTAGGAGAGGGCACGAAGTTACGGTGATGAGCAGTTTTCCCTTACGAAATCCTCCGCCTGGTTACACGGACGTGTACTTACCCGTTCATCCCGGAGGAGAAGATATGGTTCAGTTAGTCGCCGGGTCACGGTGGGATAAGTATCGTTCGCCGATTTCCTGTAAGGAGTCGACGAGGCATCGTTGCGAATTTCTTCTCGCGAGCGAGGAATACCGCGATTTTCTGCTCGTCGATGGAAAATATGACATTATACTTTCCGAATACTTCTTCTTTAACTGCCATTTGACTCCCGTTGTGAAAAAGTTTAAAGTTCCCTACGTTTTGATACAAACAACGCCGTTGATGCCGTGGGCTAACCAATGGGCGGGTAATCCGGACAACCCGGCCTACATCCCCAATTGGGTCATGGATTACTCGCACAAACTGGGCTTTCTCGAGCGGCTTGAGAATACTGCTGTATGGGTCTTCGGCTTTCTCTACTATAATTACGTTATGGTTGCGCAAGAGGTGCAAATGTATTTGAAGTATGCTGGTGCAGATTCTGATTACCTCTACGATATGATGAGGAATACCAGCATGTTCTTGGTTTACACGCACTTCGCGATACATGGCGCTAGACCGTTTGTACCTAATGTGATTGAAATTAATGGTATGCACATCGAAAGTCAGAAACGGCTGCCAGCGGTAAGTATGCCTTATTTAATAATTAGTCGGGGCCTCAGTCAACAAAATAACACAATAAATTTGATAATTGCAAGGAAAGTCATTGAAGATTATGCAAACTGATCATAATGAGATGACATACTCATCGTGTCGTCCTTATAGGGTGGCACAAAACCACAACTTCTACGAAAAAATGTTATAGGACTTTTTATATTCTCCATTAAATTCTCTATAAAGATGTTTCTTACTGTTTTTGGGTATCTCCCACCCAACGCTCGTAAATGACCTTGGAAAATAAGCATAGTTTTCAGCGCAAAGAGAAAAATGAGCCCACCGCTGTTTTTTTGCGGCGATTATCTCGTAAAGTGAATCTGAGTAAAAAAAATTATAGAATCGAAATTAAAGAGCAGTTTTTTTTCTACATTGCATGTTCTATTTTTGAATCTTTAGTAAACGTACTTGAGATAAATGCACCAGTTACCATCATTATTGTTGCCGCGAGACGAGACGAGACGAGACTTTCAAAGTCTCGTCTCGTCTAGTGTGGTTTGGTCTCGCGTGGTCTCGCCATACTATCCAAAAATGGCGTAAAGCATGTATAAAAGACACCACGAAGGCATAATAAATAATATTGACCTTCCTTATCTATCTGCTAATCACGAAACATAATTATGTGTATTATAAGGATTTTCTTTACCATTCTGCAGCTAAAAAAATATTAGCTTTCGTAAAATGTAACTGGTAATGTGACTACTGTAACTAGGTATAGAACAGTCTCACTGATTTCTTTGTTACTTAAATACTTAAAGATAATCTGTCCAAGTTATTTTGTAACTTTTATGGACTTAACTACGCAGTAAATATGTAAGTACTTATACTTACAGTAACTGTATTTGAATATGTCATATGTCCACAGTATACATTTTACCTTAAGCAGCGCCTTTGTTCACAGAATTTCGCAAGAACACAAAAAAGTGTAAACTCATACTAAAGTACCTAGGTATAGCATTTTAGCCCCAATATGGCGACCAGAACGAGCTACGAATCAAAAACGAGATACCCGGTTGTATCCACTGTTCTAAATTGAGTCACTATACCTATATACCTAGAAACGATTGGATTTAATGCCATAAACTTGTGAAAATAAAATGAGAGCATTAAGGGCATTTAATATAAAGCAGTCCTATTAAGTATTATTACCAAATCTCTTGATAAGGGTACAGATTTAATAAATCAATTGTCCGCCAATAAAATAAAGCTGTCGAAGACTTCCTGGATTTAAGAAAAATTACATTTGTATAACACCTATTGTAATTAAGTCCTACATCAGTAAGGTCAGGAACGGTTTATGTCAACAATTGGAATGCATGTTATTTCAATGGATTTTCTTGATTAAAATTTAAAAAAAAACAGTAAAATAAAAGAAAAAAACTTCGAGACCAAACGAGAGTCGAGAGCCCGAGACTGATGGTTAGTCTCGTCTCGTCGAGATGAGACAAGGCGAGACTGAACCTTGGTCTCGTTTCGAAAATTCGAGACGAGACCAACGGGGGCATCACTAACCATCATATCATAAATAGTGAATAATTAATATTTAATTTCTTCATCACTCTTCGGACAAAGCCATTCGCTTTTTGAGAGAATATTAAGGAAAGGGCGTATAGTTCCCATGACTTACACATTTCGAAAGTTTTAAAGGGTTGCAAATATAATAAATGTATATGTAAATGTATAGTGGGTTGGGTTGGTAGAGCAGCCTTGACTGAAACCCCGCCCACTCAAAAATAAAGGCTAAATAAATAAATAAATAATATTTTATTTGCCCTTTTGCCTTTTTTTAGGAGAGGAAAATCGCAGACTATAAACTTAATAAATTGAAAAAAGAATTTACAAGAAGTGGTTGTAATATAAAATAATCCCTCATCGACGAAAATTGCTCTTTAATTTCGATTCTATACATTTTTTTGCTCAGACTAATACAAGGTCATTTACGAGCGTTGGGTGGAAGATACGCAAAAAACAGTAAAAAACATTTTTATAAAGAATTTAATGGAGAATATAAAAAGTTCTATAACATTTTTTCGTACAAGTTGCGGTTTACGAACAAATGCCGAAAAAGATCGTGAGGTTACGATTGGGGGTGGTTTTTTGAGCAAAGGGGATAAAGCTCCCACCGAGGAGGTGGGAACTTTTCAGATCTGTATTTGGGTCCCTACTGAGAGTTCATAACCAAAATCTCAAAACTTTATAAATTTTTTCTTCTAAAAAAGCTAATTTTCCTACACTATTTTGCGTCCGAAATATTTTTCTTCCGAATAAAAATACTGAAAGAGCTTGAATTTGTAGGCTTATTCGCCCTACTAACCTTCACCTTTATAATGCACTATGATACCAGAGATATTCTTAGTTTACGAGATATAGGTACGCCAAACACTGAAAAAAGGAAATGTTGGGGTTACCACACGGTCCTCGAGGTCGAAAGCAGCCTAATGTACCCCCAAACAACCTGTCAAAACTCCATTAACTTTGGAATACTTACCAGCAACCTCCCCTATTTTTCATTAAGTTTATCGACTGGACTAACAGCCTGAAATCTATTTTTCTTCTAATGTGTAAACTGTACTTTAAATGTACGTATGGGTCAATTGCAAGAATCTCGCGGTAAATAGTCCCGCACTAAGATTTAAGCTATGCCCTTTGCATCCAATCATTACATTATTTATGGTTCGTATAGTGAGTGGTATAAAATCATTATTAGAAATACGTAGGCCTTATGGGCCTGTGTGGTGTATTACATCAACGATCAGCATTATCTGGCGAAATGTAGAAACGATCAATAAAAGTGAGTCTCTTCAAAAACCCTTTAACAACGTGAATAAAATTGGTACATAGAGGCTTGATTTTTTTGGAAATAATTTTAGTGTCAATGTGTACAATACAATCATTGTGTTTCTAAAGTGTTTTCTTTTAAATTTCAGCACATAGACAAATGGATCAACGAATCAAAACACGGTGTGATTTACTTCAGTCTGGGATCAATGATCAAAGGACACACGTTTCCCGACGACAAGAAACAGATGTTCATTAACGCATTTGGTCGTCTACCTCAACGCGTTCTGTGGAAATGGGAGAACGAAACTATGCCAGGGAAGACGGACAATATCATGATCGAAAAATGGATGCCCCAATTCGATATTTTGTGTAAGTTACGTAACATACAACTGAAAAGTTACTTTGGCATACCTCAAGTTCAAAAGATCGGCGAGTTCGAAATGACACCTTCATGTGTAAGACTAAAATTTGGTGCTTTTGAGCTCGCACCTTTGTGATCTAAGTTTGGGGGAGAACTTTCAAGTGATTCAAAATCAAACAAGCCACAACAGACCAATGTTTTTTACCAAAAATCAAGGACCTCTGGAACTCTTGAGTTTTTTTGTTCACCGGCCATTGCAAGCTTTCCAATTCGATTCCGTATATTGTAACCATTTTTTGTATTTCTCTGATTTTGAGGGTTAGTGTAACTTGGAATTAAATAGTGTTGCAACTTTGTCGATCGAACTTAGAACTTGACCATAGTTTCAAGTATTTGTTGTATTATGAATAATTTGTAAACTTTGAAAAATGAAAACTTTCTGTAGCACCATCATGCACTAAAAACCCTAGCCAGTTTCATTCACCCATTTGCTTTATTTTTAAGTGCATATTCGAAGTGTATAATTTAGGGTCAAAATTTGAAATGTTGGATCAAATAAAGTAAACTTTTAACGTTTAATGCAAATCTTGACAGTTACCTTCACTTTTTTTTATTATGAAAAGTGAAAAGTGCAGGTTCAATTTTGGTATTTGAATTTGAAGATGATTTGAACATCAAAATTAAGCTCAAAATTATACAGCTATGATTCATTCCTTTAAATTCCAATTTGAAAATCAGGAATAAGGGTCTAACAATTTTTTAATTCCAGGCCACCCCAATGTGAAAGCATTCATCGCACACGGCGGCATGCTAGGAGTAACAGAGGCAGTCCATTGTGGCGTCCCAATGATTATCATGCCACAATTCGGCGATCAATTCACGAACGCAAAGGCTGTCGAAGCTAGTGGAGGCGGAACAATCTTAGACTACAGATATTTGGACGAGGAGTCAATTTATAACGCTCTTACAACAGCTTTGGACCCAAAGTAATAAAATTTAAAAGTTTAATCCTCCCAATTTATAACCGAGTAGAAAAGCTCGTTCTCATAACATTAACAATATTTCCAGCTACTTGTTTTAATTAACGTATTCCACGTACATCATAAGCAGCTGCGGTCTTTTATGGGGCGAGTTTTCTTATTAAATATAATACGAAAGGGAACATTTATTAATTTTAATCTTTTTTTTTCTCTTTTTCAGGTCCAATAAGAAGGCGAAGGAGCTTTCGGCACGCTTTAAGGATCGCCCTTTACCTCCGTTAGAAACGTCTATTTATTGGATTGAGTATGTTGCGAGGCACGGTGGAGCACCGCACTTGAGGACCGCGGCGGTCGGCATGCCCTTATATCAGTACCTTCTCCTTGATGTGATCGCCTTTTTAGTCGTTATTTTATTTTCGTTTTTATTTGTTGTGTATTATATTAGCAGAGCGATTTTAAGAAAGTTATGTAGACGTAAGCAGTCGTCACAGAAAAAGAAGAAACATTAAGTAGCCGCTTTAGCAAATTGCGAAACTAGAAAACAAATTGTAATTGATAACGTAAATTAGTGATTAGATTAGTGATATTTTAAAGTGTTCTTCTTGCACATTTTTTTACGTAACGTATAATGACAATTTAATCTTAGGAATTAGGGAATAAAAAGAAACCTAAAAATGAGCACAGCACTTGAGGACTACGGCGGTCGGCATGCCCTTCTCCTTGATGTGATCGCATTTTTAACCGTCATTTTATTTTCGTTTATATTTGTTTTGTATTATATTTGCAGAGCTATTTCAAGAAAGTTATGCAGAAAAATTAGTCACTTTATATTGTAAAACTAGAGAACAAATTGTAATTGATAAGGTAAATACTAGACAGATTAGTGATATTTTAAAATGTTCGTCTTACACATTTTTTCACATAATGTATACTGACAGTTTAATTTTAGGGATTAGGGAATAAAAAGAATTCTTCCATCTGTAATCTGATTGAATACTTTCAGTTACCTTTCAATCTATTTTGAAAACTATTTGCACACAAACATTAACACATCCTTTTTTAAAATAATCATGATATTTTGTTGTAATAGGTCTTTGCAATTCTTGTTTATCCGTAATTTTTGATACAATTTTGGAAATATTTTGAAACAAGAAAAAATTCAATTCTGACTTTAAATTCATGACGTTATTTACACAGTTATTTACATCCGCCCTTAAATTGAGCAACAAAAATAAGTTTCATACACCCCCTTCCTCTCCCCCCTTAATACAAAGCAAAATTATTAGAGCTGCAGTTTTTTTAAAATCAATTAACATTAATTTCCCTCATATAGTTCGCCGTTGAGATTCTAACACGATCGCACAAAAACAATTCCCTAGTCAAAATCAAAATTTCATGCCGCCAACACAATATGTCTGGGAAAAAATCCTATCCAAACACTAAACCAAAATCAAAACCAATAATCAAATTTGACTTGGTCACTTTCTTCAAAATTATCATAACACTTTTACAACTATCTCCAAATCTCCTATTTATTACAGAAGGTCTTTTATAGGGTAAAAGTAATTTTGCACTAATTCATTCTGGACCATCAGCCACTCCTTAACTTCGTTAAAACAACTAAATCACCTTCTTTAAAGATAACATTTTTCTTAAGTTTACTATTTTTTTTTCTGACAATTTATTTCAGGTCGTTTTAAAATCCTTGAAGTAAAACATATGGATACTTCCACTCCATCCTGTCTTTGAACTATACCCCTGTAAATGCACTATCAGAAGCATCCGTTCGCAAAATGAATTCTTCATTAAAATCCGGATACAATCTGATTCCCTTAATTTATTCTTCCTTTAACTTGACAAATGTCTCATTTCTTTCCTTAGTCCATTTAAATTTCTCGTCTTTCCTTAATAATTTAATTAGCGGTACCGAAATATCTGAATACCTGGGTACAAATTTCCTGTACCAATTCAAAAACCTAAAATTCCTCTTGATTTGCGTAATTTAGTTAATTTAGTAGGTGGCGGAAAATTACTAATTATTACCAAAACTTAACGAATCGTCTTAGGAGCTTCAAGAAAATTTTAAAAAAACTATAAAATTGGTGCAAGTTTGCAGAGAAATTGTAAGAGGATTGCAGTTCTAAAATATCCTACGATCATTACGAGAACATGTCAAAACATTGTAACAAGAGTTTCGAAAAGAAGCTGTCGCACATCAAGATCACAGGAAAAAACTACAGAAAATCCAACAGAATTTAGTCTTGAAGCCCTGAAAAATTATTTATTACATTACTTTAAAAAATCTACGTGGTTAAAATGCAAAAGTAACTCGTAGTACTGGTATTCTTTATTTAATCATATTTAATTAAAATTGTCGGTTTACATTTTTTCCATTTTTTTGAAATGAATCCACTCGGACCAGCATTTTTCTTTAAACTACGTAACATTGTCTTCAATAATACAACAGATCCTATGACTAGGTCACCCTGTGTATTTAAAGTACTCAATTTAATTATTTAATTTTAATTAGCTTATTTTTTATAATTACATCTATTTAACTCAGTTTTCTGAAAATTTCTGTTTACTTTATGAAATTCTGGTAGTAATGGTGTCTTAATTCCGATGGGGTGTGTTTATTAAGAATGCCACGAAGAGTCTCCCTGCCAGGTATATCGCACCAGAACAATTTTGTTGCTTAAATTAGTTAATAATTTGGTATTACAGTTAACTATTTTTTAAGCTTCTTATTTTTTTGATTATTTGAATCATTTTAGAAGAATTACCCAAGTACACAGCTTCCCAAGAAACCCAGAAATAGTTTTGCGATGATCCAAAAAAAACTTACGACGAATGTTTCGGGAATTTCTCGTTTTCTTAAAATTTTCTTAAAGTATTTGATCAACAGTTATTTTTTCTTCAACATCTAAAGATTCTTATTTCCAAATTAAGGTGTTTGTTTTTAACACATTGTTGAAATCTTCCTTGAAATGAATTTGGTAAATGAAAATTCCAGACGATTTTTGGAACAACCTCTTGACCTTTCCCATAAATCCCTTTAAATCGTCGGTCGAAGAGTCCTTTTCACTATTTTGCTTTTATTTTATTTTGGCATTTTTTTTAAAAAACATTAAATATAAATATTAAAGAAAAACTAACGAATTGCGCTTTGTGCTTTCTGGTATATTTCAGACTCCCATACGTTAATTTTCTCGAATTTTCGTAGATCCGCACTGCTTGATAACGTATTCAAGATAATTTTCAAAATTTTATTTAAATTTTATGAAAATTCCATAAAATGTTGTGTATATTTTCATAGGATCCTCTATGAGCCGCCTAGGTAGTTCAGTTTTTACTTCATTATTGGGCTTTATTTACTTCGATTTCCATCACTAAGCTCTACAAGTTTCTCCCGTTTTCTTCTGGAATCTTCGATACTAATTTTTGCATTTACCATTTCCATAAAAAAATGAGCTTTGTACAAATTGTGGCTATAAATCGAAGCTATTTGTAATCCAGCACTGGGCATTATTAAATTAAAACGTTCTTGCATTAATGGCACACCGTAGATTTACACCCTGTACAAACGCTCATAAAAGGAAGAGCTATATTCAAAGCATCAGATTATATGGATTGTCGTTCCTGGATAGCAATTAAGAAGAAGCGTAAGTAAATAAAGCGAAATTTTATTACGCCGTATATATTGAGTTAGTGCCGAAAGCAGTACATGAATCCACTTATAAGCTCGTCACGACTTCGCATACATCAAATTGTCTTCGAATTCTGTAGATATAGCGATACTTAACGAGGGGCTTATCACATACTATTCCGAGTTAAAAGCCTACACCCTCGAGAAATACAGTTAATGCACGGCTTTTAACAACTTTAATCTATTTCCCATTATTATCGAACAGAAATGAAATTTTCTGGATTAGCCGTACTTAAACTTCAGTTTTGGGAATTATTCAGCCGTTTTGGTAAAATTGAGAGTGCCACTTATACTGGGAATAAAGCGGCGAATATTATATTCAGAGGTTTAGTAATAAAGTGACGGATCACAGATGCTTAATACTGTAAGGATGCATACCATGCGAAGGATTTGCATTGTAAAACATGGCTGTCGAACAATAACGTACTTTTATTAACATCTATAGTCTGTAACAGTAACATACTAATAACAACATATCTATTGATTACTACAAAACAATTACTTTCTTCCATAAATTTAACAATTTTACTATATTAAACAACTATTATTTTTTGGTCTTAAAACTTTTGTTTCTGGCCCTAAAATTTCCTTCATAAAAACATCTCTCCCATCAGGAATGATTGAACACACAAAAAATCTATCTGATGATGTAGGTATGTGTATATAACATTAATACTTAGGTTTTCTTAATGGTCTATTTGCAAGCCAATCACTTGTGCAAAAAACTTGTTTGTAGTGTCTGTTTTTCAAATCTCAGTTGAACTAAAACAAAGTCGTCCTTTTTAACAGCAAACCACCAAGACAACCCCCAACAAAAGTCGAATAAATAACCGTACGAAACATACGGGAAATTGTAGGCAAAATCACATAACGTAAACTGCACTTTAAGACTGTGACTATTAAAAAGTTGTCACCCGGAATTTCTTTGCATATTTTGGGGGATTGAAATGTGGCTGTCGTTTCTCCCTTGAATATACTACAGCTTCGTGGTATTCGAACAATTTTTTAGTTATTTTTATCGATGGTACCTAAGGTATAATCTATAGGAGGTATTTTCGTCGGAAGTGGTGAAGGAGTCTGGGATAGATGCATTTTCAAGGGGATTAATGAAGATGGGTCTGGCTATATTCGTATTCTGGCATACCAACTCTGGCGCCCAACGTGGGGAATTTCCCGAGAGATACTTAATTCTTCCACCCGAGTTAAGAAATCTAACAATGACATGGACCCATCCCCAGAAAAGGTTAAGCCTAATTTATGAATTTGATATTTTTTATTTGGGATCGAGGTATTCTGAACATTTCCCCCAGTACCTTCCTTTCCCACCACGGTACGGGAAGATCCAGAATCTAGTAAACCGTAGAAAAAATATCCATAAATATTTACGGTCAAATAAGGTCTTTCATCGTCTCTGACGCTAGCAAAAATAAAGTCTAAAAGGATTCGTTGTTTGTCAGGTAAACCGTTAAATGGAGTTTCCGAGATTAATTAAATGTGTGAGTCAGCTCCTCGGGCAGCAGACTCCACCTTCAGTTTCCCTGGTTCGGGTTACACTTCCGGCATTTGGGTTTAATTACCCCAGGCTGACCACAGCCGTAACAATGTATTTTCTGCGGTATTAAACATTGCGGCGACAGATGTCCTTCTTGAAAACAGTTCCAGCATTTGGTAACTGGTTTTGAAGAAATAGGAGTGTTGTTTCGCGAAGGAATTTTAGCTAAAGACGCTAAATTAGTTTTTACTGTTGAAGAGCGTGAAGTTTCCGAATCAGAGGACGACGTAAGATAAGCTAAACTCGGTTCTAATAGTTTCGTAGTAAATAGAGTTTTAAAAACAATAATAGCCTCCTACGTAAAGGAAAATCAACGTCACTGGGATGTTAACTTAGCAAAAATTGGTTGTGCTATTAGGACTGCTAAACATGAAATCACAGGTTATACTCCTTTCTTTGCTTTTTGTGGCCGTGAACATGTTTTGTATGGAGATCGGTTTAAAAATCCGGCAGATTCCGATACACCTATTATAGATTCTGATAGATCTCAGTTAACTAAAAGATCGACTGAATTTTTTGAAACATTACGAAAGAATATTTTACATAAAATGAAACTGTCAACTCAGAGAACACAAAATCGTTATAATCTCAGACCTCGAATGATACGATATAAAGTAAATGACTTAGTGTGGAAAAGAAATTTTGTTCTTTCGGATGCTGCTAAATATTTTAATACAAAACTATCCCCGAAATTTAACGGCCCTTATAAAGTCAAGAATGTCACTT